TATACTTATATATATTATAAACCAAAAATAAAAATAATAAATTAAAGAAATACACAAAAAAAGGAAAAATTTTAAGTAGTTAGTTTGGTACTAATATTAATAATTTTTTTCAATTTTTATGATATATCTTCATATTTATATTTTATTCAAAAATATAAACATTATCACTTTCTTAAAACCACATAAAACTGTATTATAACATCGACCGAGACAAAAAAAAAATGAAACATTAAAATCGAGATGTATCTCGCTGCATTGTGCGAGTACCCTTATAGTATACATATATGCACATATGGCTTAATTATTTAAGAATTTTAAAATTTGTGAGATCCATAAGATCCATTCTACGTCACTAATATAATATAATTAATGTTATTTTTTTAATTAATATTGAAAGGGTAATTATGTAATTTTTGATTTGGATGACAACTCATAAATTAGTTTTCTATCTATAAATTTAAAACTTTAGTTATAATCTCTCCCCCCCACTCATAAATCAATTATTTCTTATGGACTTTTTTTCTTTTATGATATTATACTGATTTACTTCGTCCCAAAATAAGTATCTATACTTTTATTTATGTTTGTTTTAAAATAAATTTTCACTTCCAAAAATAAAAACCAAAATTTCCCAAATTACCCTTAATTAATGCAAAAGTATTTAAAAAATTGTGAAAGAGAGATTAAATAAAGGGTTAAAAATGTCATTTGGTTAATAAAAAGTGTAATAATTATATACGTTTAAAACTGTGTCATTTCAGTTGTGGACATTTATTTTGGATGGAGGGAGATAGATATGGACATTCATTCTATTTGCTACACTCATACGCATTGGTATTTTCTCTAAAAAGTTGGTATCTGGCAGTGTCGTTTTTCTGTTAGGAATGTTCTAGAACGTTCACAAGATTCACATTGTGTTCACAAAATTGTTAGGTTTAATCAGTTTTAGTTTTATCAGGTTACTTGGTGTTTATAACACGTTCATAAGTTAAACCAGATGTTGCAGATCCACACAAAGTTTTGTTGGATTATTCGGTGTTTACATTGGGTTTTTATTGATGTTCACTTGTGTACACAAATAAACTAAAATTTTAGTTTACCTATTTTTTGTTAATTTTTTTATTAACCTGTAAATCCAACCCGTTATGCGAGCCAACTAATCCTAGGGCGACCACGTGCTTTGCAGATAGCCCGGAGTCATCGCATTTGAACCTCCGTGGCCACAAGGGGATTCTTATTCCTCATTGGATTTGAACCTGGGACCTCCTGGTACTTTTGACCTTTGGAGCCAAGCTCAAACCAATCAGACACCACCCTTATGGTTTATTTTTTTTTTGTTACTTTATTCATGGCGGGAGAGAGAATATTTGTAAAATGCCCGGTTTTAAAATTTTATTTAAAATGATCAAAATTACAAATTTTCTTTTTACAAATTTTCTTTATTTTAACTCTTAGGGGTCGTTTACCTAAACACTTATCCGGTAAGTGCTTATTGGTAAAATTCAACACTATCGTTTACTTACCGAGTAAGATTGAGTCCACCAAAACGACATTGTATTTAATAATTTACCTGGTAAGCGCTAAACGTGGTAAGAGTCGTTGCCATCACTTACCAGGTAAGACTCTCAGTCCTTATTTTCGCTCTTATAGGATAAGATTATTTGTTCTTGTCATAGTCATCCGGTAAGGTAATGTGACTTGGTAAGCACTTACCCAGGTAAACATTTGGTAAATGGCCCCTTAGTTTAATATAATATGTGGTTTATATTTCTCACCTATCTTATAGATCGCAAAGTTTCAAAAGAAGGCCTCTTATACACAAACACGTATACACGTGCGTCCCCGCACACACACATATAGGGGTTAAATCAAATGAGAACTATAAGAAAGTTGAAACTTGTGAAGGAAAATACTGTGAAAGTTACCTTGACAGCATTTTGCTATGAAATTTCATATTTAAAAAACTTGTCTCGCGTGTCTCACAAAAACAACATTGTCTCCCATAAACTCTAGTCTCTCTCTCTCTCTCTCTCTCTCTCTCTCTCTATATATATATATATATATATATATATATATATATATATATACACACACACAAATCTAACCAAATGGAAGTTTTATTGGAGTTAGATTAAGGGGGTGTTTGGGATTGCTTATTTGAAACAACTTATGTTTTTTTTACAAAAGCATTTATTAACTTATTATAAGTCAGAAGAGTTTAACTTCTTTAAAAACTTCTTATTACCGGTTTGGCACCGGTATAAGTTGTTTATCCAAACACTCAAAAATAATTATTACCGATACCACACCGAAATAAGTCAATAAGTTGTTTTTAAAAACAATCCCAAACACCCCCTAAGCACAGATAACGTCATTTCCGACCCTAACCCCGACCCTGCTTTAGATATAAAAAATAAATTACCATACCCACCTTGTTACCCACCAAATTAAGGAATCTTCGTCCCGTTCAAATCAACTATCTACACTCTGACATTCCTACGGGTAAAATTTTCATCTCTGCTCGCAAATAGTAATGCGGGTGGGCATATTGAATGCTACTTATAGCTACCTCTACCTTTTAATACTTATCTATTTATGGAAATTAATTAATTAAATAAAATGATGTTAAATATATCCCAAAAAACATGATATATTTATGTTTTTTTTATTAACCTGGATAACTAATCCGTTATGCGAGCCGACTAATTCCAAGGTGATCATCTGTTTTTCAGATGGCCCGGAGTTATCGCATTTGAACCTCTGTGGCTACAAGGGGATTTTTATTTCTTATTGGATTTAAACCTGAGACCTTTTGGTATTTTTGACCTTTAGAGCCAACCTCAAATCAATCAGGCATCACGCTTGTGGTTGATATATTTATGCTTTATAAATTATAATAAAAATATTTTATAAACTATAATAACAATATTTTATAAATTATAATGAAACATAAATATTACAAACTTTCATTAAAAATGCAAAACACATTTTAATTGAAAGCAATACATATTACTACAATGAAGTAAGCAGTTTTCCGGCCACCGCCCACCGGCTATATCTCAACCGCACGACGCCATCTCCGCCACATGAGCCACCACCGGACTCCGGCATGACACGTGTATATATATATATATATAACTATAATTATATATAAGTTAATTAACAATAAGCCACACACTTCTTACAATCCATGGTGCACCCACCTCCGCCGCCACCTCCGCCGTATCCCTTGCCCGAACGGCTGTAGGAGGTGAAGCATTTGGCCGGACACGTCAGCTTCTTCTTGTAACAAGGACCTTTATCTTTACAGACCACGGTGGGTCGGATCACCCCACTTTTTGAGTGGCCACCTTTGGGACCTCCATAACCCGACCCGTACCCGCCACCTACACCACCGTTGCCAGGCCAGTTGTTTCCAAACCCGGGTATGTTGAACCCGGGTCCTGATCCGGGTCCAAAGAATCCGCCACTGCCATCGTCATGACCACCTTTCTTGTTGTGTGGTTTGTCTGTCTTCGGGTCGGATCGGGTCTCTATGGAGATTGTGAAGAGGAAGAAGATCAAGAAGAATGGAAGAATGAGGTTTTTCATGGTGAAGTGGAATTTGAGGAGATGAGTATTTTTTTTTAGAAGGTGGATGTCGTGGGTATTTATGGGGGGTGGGGGGTGGGGTAGGGTGGGTATGGGGTAGGAAATGAGCATTTAACTAGATCGCAATTGTACGGTTGTATATCCAGATATAGAGATTGTTTGACAGTTGTTGAATGATTTGATGCAAGATGATTAAGTGGTTAGAATAATTGACTTTCATGATATAGTGCAAAATGAAATATAATTGTTTAGTAATCCTTTACAATGAAATTAAGGTGCTGAATGGTTAAGGGAGACACCTAATACAAAATCATTCAAAGGGTTTTGAAATCATTAAGAGACAAACTTTTTTTTTTGCCAAACAAGATTCATCTCTTAATGATTCAGAGATTGTTTCTTAATTGAACTATTAAGAAGTAAACAAACAACCCCTAGGTTTTTTTTAACAGTTGATGGGGTTCGAGAAAGAAAATAGTGGTGGGAGCGGGAACAATAACTTTAGGTTCAGAAAACGTTTTCGAAGGTAGTTTTAAAAGTTTTGAACGGGTGTGGTTGACCGCCTATTCATGATACAGATCCGTCATCGAATAAGATGTTTAGGGTTGTTTGTTATGTAAAACTGGACTGGATGTGTGAGGGTGAGGTAGGTGGATGCAAGATTTATCAGATGTTTCAGGGTTTTGACACATGTATTTCAGTAATTTATCAATCTTATCTTATTTTCCTGATTTTTGTTCTACTTATTTTGGTGGGATAAAAGAAATGCATTCTTGTCCAACTCGGTTCTATTTTGTTCCAATCTGATTCCGCGTCAAACATGACACTGCAAGTTTTTGTTGTGTCATATCATGTTCTGTTCTGCATACCAAATGCATCCTTAAAGGAGGAGTGAGTTAAATGGAAGGACGAACATGTATCAAAATACAATAAAGTTTGTCTTAATTTTTTATTCGATGTATTAATGGATTTTTTTATACAATTAATGTAATAAATGTTCGATTCTTTTTATTTTATACTTATTTTGATCGATAACCGATAGATCTTGTAATAATCGACGACATAAATACAAAGTTGTCGAGCCATATTGCAATATTATCAAGAGCAAAACTGTCATTTTATCCTTGTTGAATCTTATGTCGATAATTTTTTGTAATTGAGCCCGCAACCATTTTTTAAATTTTTTGTTTGGCTTATGTGACGATAGCGTATTTACATGCATCGTTTGGTCGTTTTTTTATTAACTTGGATATCCAACCTGCTATGCGAGCTGACTAATTCCAAGGCGACCACCTGCTTTGCAGATAGCCTGTAGTCACCGCATTTGAACCTCCGTGGCCGCAAGGGGATTTTTATTCCTCCTTGGATTTGAATATGAGACCTCCTGGTACTTTTGACCTTTGGAGCCAAGCTCAAACCAATCAGACACCACCCTTGTGGTTTCGTTTGGTCGTTTTTGGGGATATAGGTTGTTGCTTTTAGCCTTTTCTTAACTGCATATCGCAGTTGTTTTTGTTGAGGGTTTATGTATCTGCTACGTACTGTTTTGTGTTTTTAATAATATGTGGTCTTTCATACCTTTTCGATAAATCTGATGAGATCATGAGGCCAAAAATATCTGATATATGCATCTTGAAAGAGGGACAAGTTGTTATAGGCTTCCATTTAATGAATCGTGTTTCCAGAACGACACCATTTAAGGATCATCTTCATTGAGAAAACTTTGAACAGTTCAAAATTGTTGTTAGATTTACTTTATCGTATACGAACAATACTACATCAGATATTATGTGTAAACAAAATCAGTTAACAGAACAAAACGAACTGCACACAAATTCATCAGCAAAATGCATTTCCAAATGAGATCAAAAGATGGTATAAGCATGACTTAAGACCTGGTTGTTTTTTTTAAATTACCTCTTAATACCTCTGAAGTCTGATTCGTTCAGACGTTTGAGTATAAAAAACGTTTGTTTTATTTATAAAATAAGAGTTTAAAAAGCTCTAAATATCATCTGAAATTTTAAGTGGTAAACGTATCATTTAATATATAATTTAAAATAAATAAAAATAATAATTAAAGGAGGAAAAACTTTAATTCCCCCAACTATACTTTTATCATTGAAGTCAAATATGAAATAAATACACTCATCAGTCATCATGGATGCATTTCTTTTTTATTGTTTTTTATATTATATTTATTTTAATTTAAATATTATTATTTTTAAAAAAAATTAGAGATTTTTTATTCTCTCTTTTTTCTTTCTTTTAAAACAGAATTTAGCATAACTGTTAAAGTAAAAATTTCCTAAATTTATAAAATTTTAAAATAGTTTAACTGTTGAAAATGCTCTTAGATTTATGTAAGGATAAACTGCATGAAAAAAAAAACATACTTTAACTTGATTCCTATTTTGAGTAACGTATTTTTAGAACATCCATTTGGTACATAAAATGTAGAGTTTTAAACATTTAAGTATCCGGTTGAAACCTTAACCGATTATCATGTTGATATGGCGAGTGATGTGATATCCAACTCAGTATTATTTGTTGACGTGGTTAGTGACATTGATTTTTTTAAATCTTAAACTAGTTTTTTTAATCTAAAATTAGTCTTTAACTGGTTACCCGAGTACTTAAAATGGTTAAAACTTTACATCTTAGGTACCAAAATGGAAGTTTTAAAATTACATTATCCAAAATAAAAATTAAGTTAAAGTACGTTATTTTTTCATACAATTTATTGTAAATCTTATTCGCTATGTAAAATAGTAAATTTTAAACTTTTTTTTATTGGAATTAAGGAATTGGGACGAAATGGAGTTACCCACTTCAAGAGATTTTAAAAAATGTTATTTAATCTATATGTATTATAAAACATTTGATAAAAATTCTTAAAACCCATTTTTTACGTATGAAATACTGCTTATTGATGCATATTACTTAAAATTCAAGTGTATTTACAATTTATTAAGTTTCATGTCTGAATTCGTGTAACTAACTGTAGATAAATATAATCAAATACATGATAAAATTCTTATTTTAAATATAAAATATAATTAGGATAATTATTAAGATCTAACATGAAAATTTAGTTATTATCTTTATAAAAATTATATTATTAAACCAAAAATAAATTACTTCATCATTCAACCTAAGTTAGATTATAATAAAAAATTGAATTAAAGAGATACACAAAAAATGAGAACTTTTATATATATATATATATATATATATATAGGGGAGCGATCAAATGCAAACCACTCAATTTGTACAAACCGTGCAAACCGCATTCAACCAATTATAATTTTTCATTTTGTTAATTTTTTTGTAATTATGAGAGGTTGATTAATCATTTTTATTGTGGAGGGTGTTAA